AAAATCGCAGTAAAAAGAAAAAAAAAAAAAACCCCGCTGGTTTTACCTTCTATGAATATTTCTTGAAAGGCTACATCTACCTATAAATACAGAAAGAAGGTGCTGGATAGAAAACAAACTAATTTCATAATAATTGGGTGATTCAAAAATCCCTCGCCAGGAGAACTGGTGAGGGAAGAAAGATTAGAAAAAGATGCAAAGTCAAATGAGTCAGACTGACTTTTTTTTTAATGAGAAATAAATTCAAACAAAGCTACATTTGAACAGCAAACGCTTTGGGCCACTTACTTTAGTAAATATAAATGAGGGAAGTACAGAAAGTTAGTGGCAGCTGTCACTTCGTCAACGTTTCCATCCAAGACAGAGACGCAGATTCACCAGGTGAACAGTGGGAAATAGTGAACAACAACAACAATGACAGTTCTGTCCAGAATAGAGACACAGCGAAACAATGAAACACGGAGCTTAGACTACGTTTCATAAGAAATGAAGATCAGAGAGGACACTCCAGGACAGAGACACGGCTAAACACAAACGCACTGGGACAGGAATGGATTGTAAAAAAATTAGGGAAGTAGTAGAAATATGTAGTCCTCCTTTTAAATGACAGTGTTTTATAGGACTTAAATTCATAAAATGAAAAATATTTAGCTGCTAAATTAGTGTTTAATACTGATGGATGCATACGGTTGGACTTGCTGACCTTTTGTCTAGTGCCAGCAGAGACCTGTGATACAGCAAATACGCTTGTAATGAGAAATTACATGGAGAGCACTACAAGTGTTGGGAGGCATTCATATCCATATTGCAAACTTGCAGTTATCCGGCTGCCAGCGGTGGATAAATTACACATTATCCGCAAAGTTCCTCTGGATCAACCCGCCACTCCGGCCGACTCCCTTCCCTGCAGCACGGCGCACAGGCACACACCGCCGTGCTCTCCAGCGTGCATGTCTGTCTGGCGGACACGCACTCGCGCGTGCATGCATGCAGAAGCCACCGCACCAGCTGCCATACGCAATAAAGAACCATGAGGACCTACTCTATTTTACACATCCGCAGGGGGTCAATAACTCATTAGAGCCAAGAGGAGGCAGAGGCAGCTGAGGGAGATAACGTGGTGGGAGGCGGTGCCGCTTGGCTTGTGTGCCCGTTCACCTGCAGATACCGGCGTGTCATTGTGAGGTCACGAGGACGATTCATGACTTCATTAGCGGCGTTTCATGGAACACACCGGGGGTGTTTCCGAGTCTTAGTCTGGGGATAAATTGGAATTGGCCTGCTTTTGTTCTCCTTGCAGGAATATTTCCCTCCAGTTGTGCGATCCTCGCTTTTCACCCCGTCTGTACTTTATTTAATACCCTCATATTGCCTGTCGTGAACCCGCGTCCTCTTGAAGTTCCCCATATTGAGGTTACTTTGAGGTTAAAACAACATCATGCCACCGCGCTGACTTTAATAGCATTACCCCCCTCCCCCTTCATAATAGTAAGTATTCGCACCGTAGACCCGTCAGAATAATGTTTCCGTCTTCAGCTCGCCCGAAAGCCTCAATCAGTTAAAAAAAAAATCAGCAATTTTTCTTCAATAAACCGGAATGAAATCGACCGCTGCGCACCTTTGCTTCTTTTCTTAACAAGGCTTGGCTCATCTCCAGTGGAGGAGAACTCATTTGTTTAATCATCTCAATCACTGAGCGGGGCCTGGCTAAATATAGAAAACAGAAAACAAGCAGCAGTGTGGGCTGCATTAGTGTACACAGCGGACAGTCTGTTACTGTCAGAGCATCAAGTGCAGGGAAATATGGCTGCGTGTGTGAGAGCCCACACGGATGTCTAAAACCTCATCAGACAGTGTTTGTGCGTGTGTGTGTGTGTGTTTGGGTTTGTTTTGGGTGCTTGCCTCTGTGTTCCAGCAACAAATACCCTAAAGAACCTGTTTACAAAATTCATCCTGTTACACAACCCATCAAATCCCAAAAGCCTTAGAGTTGGTCAAGTTTAACATGCAAGCAATTATTATTTGGGCAGACAGATCGAGGATTTGAACGCAATTTAGTTTTAACTGCAGGTCACGGCGACTTGTTTCTTCTCCTTTTTTTTTTTGTTGTCGTCGTTTTAGATTCCAGCGTCAACTGCATCAGCCCTAAACGCCACACCGCCTCGGCACAAACAGATTTCCAGAGGAAACACGCAGCAGAAACGGCAACAGAAGGCGTTCAACCTTTTTGAGGACGCGTGCACTAATTACCTGATGCACGACCCTAATCCACAAACACACAGACGGAGTAATGAAATAATCTGCGCTGCTCTGCGTCGACGCCATTCATCTGAAATCACCTTGCAGCTCAACCTTGGGAGTCTGCGCTTTTCACTGAGTGTGTCGGTGCCTGGCGCCGTGTCATTCATCAGATGGTGGAGCAGCGCGGCCGTTTGATTCACGAAGGAACGAAGGGGTTTGGAGCTCCGGTCGACGTCTGGAGATGGAAAATCCACAATAACTAAAACAAGGACACGGATAGCTTGGTTCTTTTATTGTTTGGTTAGCAAACTGCTTTGCTTAAATTCCAAACTAGTAATACAGCAATTAGATTGTGTGAACACAAAACTGTGACAGAAAAATACATAACCAAGAAATTGGCCAAATTTGAGAATCTGCTGTTTTCTTTTTGTTTTTGTTTTTTTTTTGTTTGTTTGTTTGGGAATATCTTTCGCAGATGGGATCTGATATAATTTTTCTTCTATAAACATCAGCCATCGTGCTTCAGATGAATATTTTTGGGAGCTTAGGTGGAATTTGACCATGGTTCGATTCTTGTGGTTTGACGCATAAATGTTGAGTCTTGTAATTCCTTTTCTTTTCTGTTAAATCGTGAACTGCCACCTCGATCAAAGAACCTGCAACACACGTTTTTATGCATTATTGTCCTTAACAAAAAAAAAAAAAAAAAAAAAAAACGGGATTTGGTAAAAATCACAAACATTACGTTAAAATCCAACACTGATGTCACCGGTATCCGTCAAGAAAAACATGATCGGTTCATATCCGTGCATCCGATTTAAACCCGCCAGTCGACTTGATGGTTGCTAGGCCACTTGTAGTTTTCAAACTGTTTCACATCGAGTATGAAGAGTTACTGTACGCAACAAACTTTCGATCACTTCAGCCCGTTTTTAAACACCTCATTAAAATGACTTTTACCAAAGAATAGGTAAAAAAAAAATCCATCATCAGTTTGCTACTGTACCCTTTTAAAACATTTAAAACCTTAACACCAGGTAATACCTTTGTTCTTTTGAAAAGAACATAAACAGTAGCTATCTGTGGTGTGAAAAAAACAACAAAAAACTAAACTCCTGAGCTATCAAGCTCAGCAGGCCTGCCTCTGTCAGGTGCCAACCTTAGGAATATTTAAATGCTCTGATGATTACATAGCCCCTGGGCCTGACTGCTCAAACTGAACACTGGGTGTGCGCTGACATGCACGGCATACACTAATGGGACTTCTGACAGCTCAGTGCATTCAGCCTTCAAAAAAATAAATAAAAAAAAAGAAAGCAACACGCTGCACCGTGCCAGAGGGGACCAGAGGGTGGGGGTGTGAATGTTGTGTGAGCCGATTGAAGGTCTGGAGAGCAGGAGGCCAAAGGTCTGACTGCTGCCGCATCTGACGTGTCCATCAGCCGGACAGCTACACCCATCAAAACTGTCCCGGGGCAAAGCAGGGGTCCGCGTCCCGCTCGTTTGCCCGCAGATTAAATAAGAGCAACGGCTGCGGTGGATGTGCCACACCTCATCCGGAGCGGCCATCCATTTTCGCCGGTCCTCACTGGCACGACTCCCGAGCCGATTCATCAGAGCAGATAAAGCGTTGAAAGCGCCGGCGCTGTCCGTGGTGCTGAAGCATCTCCGGAAGCACTTAGAAGTGCCTGAAGCTCGCTCGGCGTGAGCGCTCCGATATGTGAGGCCGAATCCAGACAACGGCGGCTCCCCGGGGGCCACAGCTGTCTGCAGATCTGTGGGAGGCTGCCCTGCCGCTGCAGCACAGAGGAGGAGAAGAAGGAGGAGGAGGAGGGGGGTGGAGGCGTGTGCTTTTCATTGATTATAGTTATTTTGGAAAATGTCAGCGGATTGGTGTAGCCCAATGATGTTGACCTTTACAGCCATTCAGCAGCGTAACAGAGCAACGCAGTTCATGAGACAATATTGATTATCGTTTGTCGCCGATATGAAAAGAGCGCTCCTGCACATTTTTCACGTCAAAACATTCCACACCTTTCCGGAGTTGGAGTTTTTCCCCTCACTTCCTTTCAGGCTGTTTTTAAGGCACAAATACAAAAGTTTGTCCCATGGATTTTCATGGGCAGTGGTCGGATAAACGGATGGGGAAATAAACAGATGGATGGGATGATAATTTTGATTTTTTTCCCGTTTGTTTTACCCCATCGCCCCTCTGAAGACTTCACGGTGCGTCGCCTGTCCTTCGTCTGACCTTCAGCCGACCTTCCATAAGCAAAGGAAATTGATCAGCTCTGCTTCTTTTAATATTCAGCTGATTGCAAACATCTAAACCACATTATAAGCACATCTTCTCTGATAATTCTCACAGCTGTCTTTATTTCTTAAACACAGACCCACCCACATTTCTTTTTTTTTTTTTTTTAATAAAGTGAGAACATGGTCAATGTTATCTAACTGATCACACAACAGCACATGCGTCAGGACTCTCAGATCTCTTGTGCAGTTCACGTGTTTCTCATAAGCTATTTTTCTCGGGAAGCGGATTAGGAATCCGCAGGAGACGAGAGCTTCATTCAAGCATTTTATAAAGTGTTTTTATTTGAATTCTTCTGTTTTGTGAAAATGACTCCAGTCCCACCCAATGTCAGAGCAAACTGTGGATGGATGGATGGATGGAGGATGAATGGATGGAGGACTGACTGAGATTTGTGGAGAGATGTGGCATTACACAGGAAAACGTGCAGAAATCCACAAAGTTGTTCATACTCATATTTGCTTTTAATATATTCATCTCAACCAGGAACATTATTTTTTCATTGTTTACTTAAATCAAATTATGCTTTTCCAACCTGCATAAGAATAATGTGGGAAACACGTTATATTTCAATAATAATAATAAAAAAAAAGCAACAACATCTCGTCAGGGTCAGATTTAAATACGAGGAGAAAAACAAAATATGGAGAAAAACTTGTTGTTCCGTTTCCCTTCACTGGACTTCATGATATCTCAGGTAAACTGCAGACGCTGTTGATCCATCCTGGAGGGAGAAAAACAAAAAAACAAACTCCAAGCACAAATCTAAAGTCGAGCTTCAGGAGATTCACCGCCTACTTGGACCAGAGTTACGCATTGAACAGCTCCCCATGCACACGCTGAAGCAAGGCAAGCAGAGGAATTTCAGGGTGCAGAAAGGACCGCTCCTCTCTCTCTCTCTCTGTCTCTCTTCTCTCTGCATCCGATTTTCCTCTCATCTCGCCACTGCTCTGAGCTGAGAAAAGGGGGGAGGCGAGGAGGGGTAGGAAGGTGGTCTTGCAGTCGACGAGCGAAAAAAGGGAACATGAGTTTGCTGAGGAGTATCTGCAGCGAGAGGGGAAAAAACCTTTGCACAGGAGCCCTGCGGATCGGCGAAGAAGGGACAAACGACCACTCTCCGCTCGGAGTCCGCCGCTTCAATTGTTTAACTTGTTGATGCAACGTTACAGCAGTTCTCCCCTTTTTTTCTTTTTCTTTTTACCCCCTCCTCTTCTCTTCAATCGTCTGGCTGCAGTGGGCAATAGATGGCTGGCGGGATTGCAAATATTCTCTTCCGAGGATTAGTGTTTTATTGACCTCACCGCGGACGCAGATTAATGATGGAGCTTCTCTATGGTGGGTCTTTTACTTTTCTTGGATTTATTTCCAAAGGGAGACAGAGAGAGGAATTAAAATCCCGGTTATTGTTGGATGAAGATTTGGGAATCTAATTGATATTCTGCCGCAAAGAGTGGGCTTTAACACAACAGTTAGAGAAGACCGGGTAGGCTCGGTAGAAAACAAAATAAGTGATTGTTTTCTATTTTTTCCCTCTTTTTTTAATATTCTGTTTCGCTGAGCTTCTCTCTCTATCTGCTCTTCCTCCTGCAGATGCAATCTATCTCTGAGCCCGTAGCACTGTGACAAGCGGAGAAGGGTCGTTTAAAAAAAAAAAAAAAAAAAAAAACACTAAAGGTCAGCATGGCAGCAGGTGTAGCGGCATGGCTTCCCTTCGCCAGAGCGGCGGCCATCGGGTGGATGCCCGTGGCGAGCACCCCGATGCCCATCCCTCCCCAGGACAAGAGGAAAGCCCAGGACGGATTCATCATCCTCAACGTGAGCGGCACCAAGTTCCAGACGTGGCGGACCACGCTGGAGAGGTACCCGGACACGTTGCTGGGGAGCACCGAGAGGGACTTCTTCTTCCACGAGGAGACCAGCGAGTACTTTTTCGACCGCGACCCCGACATCTTCAGGCACATCCTCAATTTCTACCGCACGGGCAAGCTGCATTACCCGCGCCAGGAGTGCATATCGGCGTACGACGAGGAGCTCGCCTTCTTCGGCATCATCCCCGAGATCATCGGGGACTGCTGCTACGAGGAGTACAAGGACCGGAGGCGCGAGAACGCGGAGCGGCTCCAGGACGACGAGGAGATGGACATGAACAACGACGTCGCGCCGCTGAATCTGACGTTCCGGGAGTATCTGTGGCGGGCTTTTGAAAACCCGCACACCAGCACCCTGGCGCTGGTGTTCTACTATGTGACGGGCTTCTTCATCGCCATCTCGGTGATGGCCAACGTGGTGGAGACGGTGCCGTGCGGAACTCTGCCCAACAGGTCCAAGGAGGTGTCCTGCGGGGACCGCTACGCGCTCGCCTTCTTCTGCTTGGACACGGCGTGCGTCATGATATTCACGGTCGAGTACCTGCTCCGCCTGATCGCCGCCCCCAGCCGCTGCAAGTTCATGAAGAGCGTGATGAGCGTCATCGACGTGGTGGCGATCATGCCGTACTACATCGGCCTGGTCATGACCGACAACGACCAGGTGAGCGGGGCGTTCGTCACGCTGAGGGTCTTCCGCGTCTTTCGGATTTTCAAGTTTTCCCGGCACTCCGCGGGGCTGCGCATCCTGGGCTACACCCTGAAGAGCTGCGCCTCTGAGCTGGGCTTCCTCCTCTTCTCCCTCACCATGGCCATCATTATATTCGCCACGGTCATGTTTTATGCAGAGAAAGGCTCCACAGCAACCAAGTTCACCAGCATCCCCGCAGCCTTTTGGTACACCATCGTCACCATGACAACACTGGGGTAGGTGGATATATCACACAAGTTTCTGAAAGTCCTCCACCCCTCAAAGCTTTGCAGGATGCTTAGGTGAAATATTGTTATATAGATGTGCAGTGGTGATTCTTGCTTGATTGCCACCCAGAGGATAAGAGACTAGACTATTTGGAAGGGGGGGAGGGGGGGGACTAAAAACTTTTTAGAAACATTAACAACCAAAAACATTGATCTGATCTGAACTATTTATATGTGTACCATTGAAAGATACATATATTTTAATAATTTTTATGAGAATAGAGAGAATCTATCTTTTTTTCTCCATAAAGAGGTTTCACAAATCACAGTCTTCATCTCTATGCAGTGTGTCATAAATCCAGTCTAAGTCTGACCTTACTGTGATTGTCACCAAGGATTTCAAAGTTTTCGCTTTCCAAACCGCCCTGTTTCTACAGTTTAAAGCATTATTAAGAGGATGCCACACAAGATCTTTGCCCACCTCTATGAAGCGTTGAGTAAAATCCACTCACAACATATTGCTGCACACTGCCTCTCCAGCTGGCTAAACGAAGGATACTGCAGTTCAACTTAAAAGACCAATAAATCTGATATTTTAATGAGTGAAAAACAAACATTGCATTACAAAGTGAACCGTTTTAAAAACTTCAGGATGTTGCAACTTCTTGCAACATCCTGAAGTTTTTAAAACGGTTTGTTTGCACGTTTGTTAGGCAGCCTCAGTTAAACGACCAGAATCAGTTTGTTATTCTTGTTTCTCTACAGAAAGTGACAAAAAGGTACGATATTCTGCACAACGAAAAAAGGTTTTGCCTTAGTGTACGTAACAAAGCTTAAACAATATATTTTTTTCTGAGAGCATATTTACAGCTGTACTGATCAGCTGTGTTATTCTATCATTTGAAATATTTGTTACATACTGCATAATGCTGTTGCATACAAAAGCAATTACACCAGGTTGTGCATTTGGCTTTAACTTTTTATCCATTTTTACCAGACAGCTTCAGTGTACAGAATTATTTTTAATACTCTGACGGATTCAACAATGACTGGGAGTGAAAATAAGCAACAGAAAAACATGAAATAAAATACCCTCTGGGCCGTGACTCCCCGGGCAGAGAGCCATATCACCTATATTGAAGCCCTGCCAGGGCTTATTTAATAATTATCAATCAATCAGGTTTATTTGTATACAACATTTCAGCAACGAGGCGTTTCAAAGTGCTTAACATCAGAAAATACAAAGTCATCAACAACTGAAACACTGCATTTTGCCAAGAGCCATATGATGATGCCACAAACTGAACTTGACTTCTTTTTCCATTTTCCGTTTGGAGGACAACGGGGTCAAAGACTGAGAGGAAAGTATTCAGCCCCTAGTGAAATAGTCTCTTATAGGAAATGTTTTAATGTAAAAACCTCTACAAATCTAAAATGGCGCCGCCACAAGATTATTAGAGATTATTAAGCTGGTCACCAAAAAAAAACAAAAAAAAAAAACCTTCTGAAGGCACCTTTACTGATTGGATATGCTGCCGCAGGTGTGCACTAGGACATATTAAAAAGTCCTTGAGCTGTTCCCGACCAATCACGGTGCTGCTGGCGGATCTGCCGCACACCGTCAATGAGACCGAACCCATCACCGTGCTGAAGGTCAAGCGTCGTCCCTGCCCGCTTTTGTCAAGGGTCTTCTGCGGATCGCTTGTAAAGCTCACCGCAACGGTTCAGGGTCCCCGTGAAAAATTATAGTACTAATAATAAAAAAGTAGATCTCGTGACACCAAGAATGGAGACCGTCATAACCTAGCTGGCAAAGACAGAAAAAAAAAAAAACCTCCCCGAATTCCCAAATCTAAAGAGCAGTAGGGATTAAAGCAAATGCAAACTTGTTGGTGATAAAGTGCACTCAGAGGAAGCCGCTCTCCTCTCCCCTCCTCCTCCTCTGCTCTCTGCCTCTCATTCATCCTCTCTCAGCTCATTTTCCTTTTCAGCGAGGTACAGTAAATATTTGAATGCTAATTTCATGCCCATGCACAATGTCAGCGGCTGCTATGTGCTGATGTAGCATAAAATAATTAAACACCGTTAAGACGATTACATCACATTAATTTGTATTGATGTGAGCACTCAAGTGCTCGGATCCTCGGTCCTGAGATTATCTTAATAATATCGCAGCCATTTTGGCCTATTATACTTATCATTCGCCGCATGAGTGAGATATCTTTCCCAAGATGCTACCAAAAAAAAAAAAAATCACCAGTTGCTTCTTTTCTTTTCACTAAGTTGACCAGAAATCACAATCAGACAATTGGAGATGTTGGAAGTACAGGCTACCGGCTGCCTTTTCACCCACTGCTGCAGAACTGAGCGCAACCCCCCCACTTCCCACTCCCCTCCACATCTTCCATCCCCCTACCCACTCCATCTCACTCCTGCTGCTGCTGATGACACAGAAACGAGGTCCTGTTGAAATAACGCGCTCATCTCAAAGTCCCCCCACATCACAAATCAAACATGCAAAACAAATTCCCAGCAGTTGTGTGCATTTATCCCCGCACCGCGCTCAACACTGAGCGTGAACAAGTGTCCGCGTGGCAGGGATATCCCGAACGTGACAGGTTTTTGGCTTATTTTTGTTTGTTTGTTTGTTTTCCAGGGCTGAATACCAAAATCCCTGCACCTTCTCTCACTTCCCCACCCCCCTCACCCACCCCACGTCTTCACACCTGCATTGACGCAGCTCCGCGTCTTTCTCTCCCTCTCTTGGTTCCGCAGGAAGCCTGTGTGGTTTTTAAATATTACTGCCATCATTCAAGGTGTTCTCTGTCTCACCGGCTTCCTCCTATGCGCTCCTATTATGTGGGTGACACTGAGTTAGTGGACGTACTGTCCTCTTAATGGCACATACAAATCTTCTCTCTGCTCTCACTCAATACCAGTCAGACTACAACTCACCCTCCTTAAATGACCAGTAAGCACATAATTAGTAATATGCTAGGTCCGCCGTCTGTGGCTCGGCGTTGTGCTGGACATGCCCTTCATTTAGATTCAAAGCACAGATGAAAGATGAGTTGTGCAAGAGGCTACATTATTTATCTTACGGTGGGCGCAGCGAAGATATTCACCGGGGTTCGGCTCGGAGTTCTCTCCTCCTTTGTGCTGCTCGAGATGGATTTGAAAGAGATGTTTTGTGCGCTGGAACAAAACTGAGATGTCCTTGGTAATGGGGACGTCTCTGTCACTCCATTGTGAGCCGTGACAGCCGGCTGACGGATCTGCAACATGAACTCGAGCTTTCCAGTTGGTGCAAAATGCTGCATAGTGGACCACCGCTGGAGCAGCCTGAATGAGCGTCGCTTGAAAAACAAAGTGGGGCCTCTTCTCTGGCGCGATCGTTTTCTGAGGCACGTTTGCGGTAAAACGAAACGTATGCAGGCGCGTTCCAGTATATTGGAACATAATCGAGCGGAATCCTTTTTCGGTGACTCGATTTAAAAAGCGAAAGTCACGTTAGGGCTGCGACTAATGATTGCTTTAGTTATTGATGAATCTGTCGATTATTCTGATGATTAATCGGATAAAAAGTTGGCAGCTTTTTCATTGAACCATTTAAAAGAAATGCCCTAAAAACACACAAAATACACATTTTATTGCCTAAAATGCAACATATTAGCATTCCTTTAGTGAGCACTTGCTCATTTGTAGCGAAGAATGTATCTACAGGTTAAAAAAAACAAAAATTTGTAAGACAATCTTGTGAAACGCTCAGCCCTTTCCGCTCGACTCCACATGAACACAGTCTGGGGATAATCTGTTGATTAATTTATCAATTAACCAATCGTAAAATCAACACGTGCGTGTTTGTTGTACAGTTTTGCTTTAATTGCTGCTCTGAATATGTCGTTCTTTCGGCACATGGCCTCTTTTTGAATCCGAGTACTCCAGTTAACAATTAATCGAATACTAAATTAGTTCACGATTAATCCAATTAATCACTTCCGCCACAAAGCCGTATTATGTACACTCATTACGCACACTGTGATTTATAAATAAAGATTAAAAACACACACACAAAAAAATCTGGTTTTTAATCAGAAAAGTCTAATTAGAATTTGCACATAAGACCGATGAAAAACATCAACCTCTTGAAAATGATGTATTGTCAGTGTCCAGCCAGCTCCCAGTCAAGGCTACTTTTACATGAGTTACTGCGTCAATGCAGAGCGGCATGGAGGAAATCAGTCTGCGCCTCTGTTGAGGTTTTAAGGAAGCCCAAGTTGCTTTATTAGCAGCCTTCAGCTGCTGGTGCTGTTGTTCTTTATCTTTGTTTTGACAATGTGCCGTAGATTCTGTTTGGACTGTAAATCACAGTGATAGCACGGTCATTAAGCAAGGTAATGAGCAAACAGCCTAGGAATCAAACGGGGGACAATTGCATTGAGGACTGCAGCCCTTTCCTGCAGTACATCTGCTCTACCACTAAGCCATGTAGTGCCCTTCTCCCTTGGTCAATCTGTATTTCTGGCTACTATTGCAGCATGAGCACTAAAGAAGATCCCAAGCAAATCAGAGAAAATGTTTTAGAAAAGTACAAGTCAGGGGATGGATAAAAGAAAAAAAAACTCAAATATATTCTGGAGTTCAACTAAATCCATCATCAAGAAATGGGAGGAATATGGCCCATTAAAGTAAATTTGACAAGATTAGAGAGAGTACAGGTATGACTGTGCTGAAAGGAATTAACATTTATTTTCCAGCAAGACAACGACGCGGAGCATCCAGCTAAAGCTACACAGACATGGTTTCAAGACAACAAGGTGGATGTTCTTTGGTGGTCTAGTCAAAGCCCATAGAGAATTGGTGCATTTACTTCAAACAGCTTCTTCAACCTGACAGAGCTTGAGCAGATTAGCAGGGAGAATGGGGGAAAACTGCAGGCTGTGACTGCGTTCAAAGACACAGGCACTGTATGCCGACGTTGAATGGGGGAGATATTTACCCCGTCACTT